GCCCGGTCCTCCCCGCTGGGCTCCGGGAGTCGCTGCGCCGTCGCCGCGGCGGCGGCGGGCTCCATTGCAGTGGGGCTTCGCGTTTCCCCCCCAGCTCCGGAGGCAGCGGGCGGAGAGGGCGGCGGAGAGGCGAAGGTGGGAGACGGCGGCGGCGGCGGCGGCGGCGCGGGGAGAAGGGAGAAGCCAATGGCGTTCGGCGCGGCCGTTCCAGGGGATTATGTGGCAATTCGGAGCATTCCGTCGGTGTCTCGGTGTTCCATCCCGCGCGCCCGCCCGCCGGCCTCGCCGCCACCGCGCCCCCCCACACGCCCTCCCCGCCCGGGTCGCGGGCTCCCGAGCGCAGGCCCCGCCCGCTCCCCCCACCTCACCCGGGCGAACCAGCCGCGAAGCTGGGCTTATTGAATATTAATCACGTGCTGGGAGCGGGAAAGCGGGAGGCAGGCGGGGCGGAGCTCCACGCAGGCCTCATGAATATGCATCGCGAGCATGACGGCATTCCAGGGAGGAGTGGGAAGAGCCGGAGGATGCGAGGAGGCGGGACTTCAGGGTAAACAAACGTTACGCGTGCGTACGAGGGAGGGGCGCGGGGCAGTTTCCCGGGAGGTTCCTGAGCGGGCCTCAGAGAGGGGGCGACAGAGAAGAGAGGGGCGCGCGGTGCACCTTGGAAGTTGTAGTTCTAGTGCGCAGAGGGCATGCCTGAGGGAAAGACGGGGAACTACAAGCCCCAGAGATCCTTAGGTTACGCCCCTCCTTGCAGCCAGCCGCTGGCGGTGGACAGTGTGTACTGTGCCCTCTGCTGTTGAACTCTGTGCCCGGGAATGTTCTTGTTCATTAACTTGTAACCAACCCGCCCACTCCCTCTCCCCAGAAGACTTTCGTTTTTCCTGGTAATTGAAAGCGAGTGCTTTGAGGGACTCTAAGCGATACAAAGGTCTCCAGTCTTTGGTCCTTACCCCGACCCATTGTATGAGAGATAAATACACAGACAGCGCACCGCGGGATAACTGGCCGTCGAAGCGGACCAACCTCACCTTTCCCCCACTTTTTTAAGGCTGGGGAAAACAGGCAATGTCTGGAAATTCTGACTTGGACCACTGTTGAATATGCTTGGTGGAAATCGTGCAACCCCGAGCCAATCCTCTCCCTCTCCTATATCGGAGAAGGAGAAAGGCAAAGGGCTGGGATGGCATTTTTCCCATTGATCTTAAAGTTTGAAGTAACTTAATGACACGGAAAGCAGTGGAAAGTGGAAGATACGTTGGAATGGAGACATGGTGGGATATGAGATGGCCTGGTCCTGTCCTCTTTTAGGTCTTCCCTTGTTTTTTGTTTCAGAAAAAATTTATTTTCTGCTACAATGTTTCGTTGTGGTCTGAAAAGTCGCTCTTTCTTGTCAGTTAAAACAATATTGTAGGCTAGACTAGGGTAGTTTACTATTTAAAAGAATTTAATAAGCCTTTTTCATTGAATTACCATTACCTCGACTTGTTGAAATGTGAAATTTTTCAACTGCATACTATCCAGGGCCTGTCTTAACTTAAAGTTCCTAAACTTGGGAGTGAGTGGGGGAGAAAGGGAAAAAGAGAGGGAAGAAAGGAAGGAGAGAGAAAGACAGAGAGATAAAGTGGAGCTTGTAACTGAAATAGAAATTGATAAAGGCAAGGCAAGTCATACTTAGGTTATCTACATAGTTTCATTGAAGAGGAATTGGAGGTAGCTGGTAGGACAAAAAAATAAATATTTCTCTTGATTCTTGAAATTTCTGAAAATGATTTTGTATATTTTTTTTTGAAGCCCTACTTCTTGGCCTCATGGAATTAATTTTTATTCCATCTCAATTCCATCAACAGCACAGAGTTCTATTTTTTAAATTCGGGAGAATGCAAATTCTCTCAAGAGAGATACGATAGTCGAGTCAATTAATTTAACAAATAATTATAAACATTTTATATACCAGTCACCATGTTACAACAGTTGAATAAATCAGACACTGTCCTTGCCTTCATAGAGTTTATAGATTAGGAAGAAAGACATTCAACAAGTGAGAGGGATGTAGGGGGGGGGAAATAGAAGGTGCCATGGACAGAGACAAAAATAAAACAAGGGGAACTGACCTAGCCTAGGAAGTCAGACAACAGAGACCTAACTTTGGATGAAGTTTTCTGGAAGGAATGAAACTGAGTACTTGATGAAGAATTGGTCTCTGAAAGAAAGCAAATAGGCAGAGAAGGAGGTAAGATATTAAAGATAAATTTCAACTACGCTAATCCATATGTTGCCTTGAGTGGCCCCTAAACAAACTATTAGTTTTATAAATGAAAAGAATGGTATTTTAATTTAGCCTTCCTTTAATAAGATTAAAAAACAAAGAGCATGTTAGATTTCGGTACTAAAACATGGGCTGTTTATATCTCTTTGTATTTGTTAGTTCCTTAATTGATTTCCTACAAACCTCTTTAATTTTTGCTATGTTAAGAAACATATATTGACTCCCAAATATCTGCTTTCTAGAGTTATATTTCTTTAGCTAATGTAACAAACTCAAGGAAAGTTTGTTCTTAATCATAAATACTGTCACCATTGGCCCAATGTCCATTTGCATCCTCTCTAAGAAATTATACTCCTGTACTTAATCTAGCCCTGGTTCCTGTCATTTAGCTTTACACAGTCACCATGACTCTGCCTGTTTATCCTCTAGGAATTTTGTTTACTCTTTGAAGGTATCTGTAACCAAAACACCTCCTCCAAAGGGGAAAAAAATTAAAGAAAAAGCATTGCTCAGAGAACTTAGTATCCAAAGTATTGGAGGGGGGAGGGGTTGGGGAGTCATCATACACACCTGTCAGACTTGGTACGGGGGATTTCTAAGTTGGGAGGAGGAGAGGAATAATTAATAATGGTAAAGTATCTCAACATGAAGAAAAATGAAATACATTCCAGCCTCAAAGGACAATTGTGTTGGGTGGCGGGGGGTAGGCAAGAAAGTAGAATATAATTTCTACATAGAGAAACTATTTCATGCATAGTGTCCATAATCTGAAAGACTCCATATTCCATTGTATCCAGAATAATAAAAATCAGAGTTGAGAGGAAGGCAGAAAAGCAAGGGTCCACTGTGAGATCATCCTTTGCTCCATCTTCAAATCTTTAATGAAATTACTAAACCTGGGCGTGAGAGGAGAGAGAGAAAGAAAATGAGAGTTCGTCAAGAATAGGCTAGTCCCCTTAACACCACATCAACTGGAACCTTGTAGTTGAAATAACAGATATTGATAAGGACAGTGAAACTTGTACTAAGAACTTGCTAGTATTGTGGAACATCATCCAGACCATCTGAGTCAACCCACTATACAACTTCTCTGACTAAGAAAGGATTTCAGTAGAGGACAAATGTTTTCCAGACACTCATGAAATAGCAGCTTCTCCTACTTAAAAGTAGGGTGAGGAATAGGCTAGTATCCCGAAACCATGTAACTAGCTCATGAATGCCCCCACCCTTTGAAGTGTTCCAAATGTACAATCTAATACCACATTTCTGACTAGCCAGGCTTTCCAAAGAATCACATCTTAAAATGCTAAAAGATAATCCTGAAAAGAAACAACAGATGTAAAAGTTGCAAACCCTGATGCCAACTTGTTAAAATATTTTCACAGCTAAGTATAGAAAAAGAGAACATCATTTTCAATTTACTGCCACAGTTTATTTTATGCTGTGTGATTTATAACTGACTTGCTGTGTTTTGCATCTAGGTTAATCCTGTTTTCGTCCTTAGATCCAAGATAAAAGAAACCATCTTTGGAATTTTTTTCTAATATAAGCAGTCGGAATTTTAATGGAGACATAAATTGA